TAGGCGAGACGGCGGTTCTCAAGCTTCTTGCGGGCGTTCTACTCTTGTTAGCGGGCGTATCGTCGAGGCAACTGATTGACATACCTGGTACTCTCGCATCATCGCCAGACTCCTCTCGAGGTTGTCCAGCCAAGTAGCATTGGCGCAGTCTACGTAGGAATCTTGGATGCCAGCAATGCGCTCGTTGGCGCGACCCAAGGACAACAGGCAGTTTCCGAACTCGGACTCTTGCTCAAAATCCTCGCCGTGGGTAGCCATTGTACGGCCAAGAGACGACATGGGAGTGCCGCGCTCCTTGTTATCCATAAGCTCATTGCGTTGGGACAACCATTTAACGTAGCCGCTCATAGATCGTTGCATGCGCTCCATACCTGGGGTCGTTAGCCGTCGAAAAGTTAATGGTCAACGGGGAACAAACCGTCTTGTCGGAGAGCCATTTCGGTCTCTAGATTCTTGAACTCATCAGAATGAGCCGTTCGGGCTTCAGCGCCCATTCTTTCACCGGCCCATTGGAAGGCTCGGTCAATCTTCTTTGTAAAATGCATATTGACTCGTTCGTTATCGTAATGTCGGATCCAGCCCGATAGTTGTTCGCGGGGTCGTCTGGCGCCGTCGCTACTATGCAAAAGTATAACGAGGGACAGAGGCAAGTTGTAGAAGTAAAAGAAAGAGTATTTGAGAGCGAGAGACGGGGTAATGAATGATTGCAGAGCACGAACAAGGGGTAGAAGAGGGATGGGATGCTAGGGTGGCGAACAGTTGGGGCGTGAGATGGAAAAGGACACGACCTTGAAGGTCTTGACTGAATCCAATCCTTGACTGGTTCTGGTGATGCGACCTCAAGTCCGTTGGGAGTGAGCGTCTTCAGGGGTGCTTGTAGTGGTGTGGAGGTGAGGTTGGGGAGCCCCAGCCCCGAGCTTTAAGGGAAAGCCCCCTGAAAAGTCCCAAGCTACAGTGCGCTGCAGTAGTTTAGCTTATCTTATCGCCCTGCAGAAGGCAGTGAACTCAACTCAGCGGGGACCAAAAGTCTCAGGAATTGCATTCATTTTTATGAAACAGAGCCCGAGCAAACAAAGCGAATTATTGGAACAGCAATTACAGGTGACGTTATTATTGAGTCTGTGGAATCCTGATCACGTCTGACAAGGAGAGACGTGGTGCCATGGGCAGGCGATGGGAAAGCCAAGAATGGCATGAGAAATGAAATCCTGAGGCGAATCGACCCCAAGATTTGGTCGAGGCAATTTTAGATTATAGCCTACGGACACTTAACTGAACTCTCTTGGCTTGGCTGGACTGGACTGGTCAAACGGGCTGGGCGCTTCGGACATGGCGCGGCTAGAAAATTGATCTGTGGTCCATTCGATCTGGAGCATCGTGTAGACATGACACGGTGACTGTATCGCGCTGACGTATTGTACAGTCAGAGTTTCTGAAAATAGGACAATCGCTATAAGTCAACGTGATGTAGAGAGTCTGTACCCGGAACGAGCCTGAGCGAGATGGATCCTGATACGAGTACGGATCATACCTGTAACCACGTATTGGCGTCTTGGTGGCCCGTGTCTCCAATGGCCCCTGAGACAACGGCGCCAATAGCCTGCGGTACCGCTACACTAACAACGGGAACTGTCTCCGGCTGGGAAAGCCAAGTTGGTGATCCCCACCACGAGATAGCGAAATGGAACCTACGCCGTTGGTTTCTTTATCTGGGGGTCAGCGACAAGGATGGATAGATAAGTTATTGAATGCTGCGTACGGAGTATATAGACCGCTATAATTCATTGAACACCCGTCAAAGTCAATCAAGATGCCATGCATCATGTCGACTCCCAAGTTGACCGCGACTTTGAACTAGAGACGAAAACTCTGAAAGTTTCTTTAAGCATACCATTCTCCATAAACTAACCTTACTACAAAAGGTTCGTCGTTGGGACAGTCGACACCACCATTTTGACTCTTTCTCCTTCTCTCTCTGTCCGTCAATACCACCCACTGCTGATCTTAACAGCAGTGTCGGCCCGTCCAGCCCATCACCAACCTCACACCTTTTCACTCTCACGTTACCCTCGCGTGTCCTGTTCAACCCCGCTTCAAAAAAAAAGAGCCGCAGGGCAGGAAAGTGATCGACCAGGTTCTTAGAATTCATCGTTATCTCGTTCTAGAAGACCCCAACCTCCAGCCTCGTTGGGAATAGTTGAACTGTGTGTGTCGCCTAAAAAGGGCCTCGCCCCCCTCATTCTTTAACCGCTCCACTATATACGGGGGGACATCCAGACCATTCCTCCAACTCTCCACCAACGAGCTTGCGTAATGCTGCACGGGAGGAGGGAAAAAAGCACGCAAGACATTGGTTTCAATCGGATACTGTGTGGTCTGTTACATTGAAGAGTACGACGACGATAGAAAAGCTTTCCACTTGCCGATCTCATTCCCATGCTTTTTTCGTCTGACACAAAGAAAAAGCTTGGCCTTGGGATTTATGCGCTAAGATGCCGTAGACTCTTCTGGCTCAGACTTCCCCAGAATTCTGAGCGTGGCCGATTTGGCGCGCGCCAGTATTGGATGATCCATATTTTCCCTGAGGCAGTGCTGTTTTTGCTGTGATCTTCATTCATTGCGATCCGCGCTGGTGAAACGTACATGTGCGCCATTTGAGACACTTGCGTGGCACAAGTGATGTGATCTGCAGGGTATGGACGTATCGATTTCAAGGGCTGGGCAAGGGTGATACCGTGATTGACGTCTGTCAGCATCCCTTGTCTCATCTGGAAGGTCCCTTATCCAGTTGATGATCTGTAACTCGGTAGTTCGGTAAGAATGGCTACTGAAGGGTCCGTCTCTCAACTTCAATATTGGTGGTTTGCTGCTATGTACTCGTTAGGTACATCATGACCTTCATCCCACCAGCCACTCCTCAGTATATACACTTTCCGCAATATCCGCACTCTTGATCACACGCAGCATAATCACTGCCACTGTCACTATCACTATCCGATTGCGCCGCCGTCAACTCTTCCTCGCGCTCCGAGTCCTCCGGATTCTTGTTCTCATTCCCCAACCAAGCCTCCCATTGCTTTCTGGCAGGATTAGACAAGACGTCACCTGCACCCGACAGCTGTTGGCGAATCTCGAGAGAGCCGCCGTTGGACCATACGATCTCCAATCTACCGTCCTTTGACGCGTGGGCCTTGTCGATTATGAGGCGCAGGAGTGCAGCGAGACGCTTGAGAGATGGCTGGTTGAGATCCTGCCACTCGGTGATGTCGGCCTCGACATTCTTGATCTCAATGTTTGAGTCTCTGAAGAAACCTCTTTCGTGGTAGGCGAGGAGGAATTGCGTGACTTGAGCGATCCACAAGCGTGGAAGTTGTTCGCCAAGATGATCTTCTCCACGAGCTATGACTGATCGCGTCTTCAAGTCGAAGATGCTGCTTTGAGGGACAGATTCACCTCCATCTGACAATTTGAGTTTGCCAGTACCGTTTGACAGCGATTCAACGATGCCGAGACTTTCCAAATCGTCAAAAGCGTGTCCTTTCACAATGTTTGCGACGGGACTGGACGAAATGTAGCCATCGCCTTCGAAGCGGACCATGAGATCAAGACCGCCGAATTGATACGAAAGGATTCGCTGATGGGAGGTCGAGCGCTTGACCGAAGAGTCCCATGTGGTGTACATCTCCGGGAATGTATGCCCGTATCCTCGTACACCTTCAATCTTCTCCCGAGGCGAATTCTCTCTGCGAATGAGATGGACAGTTTCGCCGACCTTCTCAACGAGCATACGAAACGGACGATCTAGACCAACGCCCCGAGCAAAGCGCAAGAGGTTTCCGATCGTGCTTCCACATGCAACGATGTTGACGGGGATAGGGCTGGGATTCATCTTCATTACAGAGACGATTGCAGGCTCAAGAGGATGTTTGGGGAAAGCTGCTGCGTTGACGTCGCGATAGTACTCGCCAGAGTCACCAGGCAGCTTGCTTGGGCCCTTGGGAGGTGTCCATCTTGGAGGTTGACCTGCACATGTTAGGCATGCTGTTTTTCTGGAGTGGCTCACGTACCTGGGATGATGATCTCGGGAGAAGATGAGCTGATCCAGTTGTAGGACGCGACTAATTTGACATTCTCAATCCCCACGTGGTCGCCATCGCTTTTGAGGCTGTCTTGAGTGATGCGCTCAATTACATCTCCGAGTGGAGGTGCTGGTGATGAAGTCACAGGCGCAGGTGCTCGCCATGCGCGCGAACTTGCTTGACGCCGTCCGTACATTATGGAAGTGAGTTTTATGAATGAGATAAATACGAGAATGGTATGCTAGGTATGACTGATAGGCTGAAGCTTGTGAAGATTGGATGAATGAGGTTGATGAGCTGGTTGAAGATGAAGGCAGACACCTTATATGTTCTCAGATACCATTCATTTCTTCCGCGTAACACCAGGAGGCCTACCAGACAATGAACTGGGACATGTCACAGTGTTTGCCTAATTCTGCATTATTTACACTTTTGCCCACCCTCTGTTGGTTGTGACAACGCCGGCCCGTTTCGCGACCGTTACTGGGCTGTGAAGAATAGGCATTCTCAGGAATTCACTCACATGGAAAAATTTGAATGAGCCAGTACAAAATAAACCAACAGCTTATGAAGAGAGTTTAAGCCAAACCTATCTGAGTATTTCTGCCATTTGGGACTGAGGTCTTGTTGTACTGCACCAGAGGTAATTGCCAAGTCCTTCTTGTCGATGTCTCCGCTGTGAGATGTGGGAGGCCGACCAAAACAACACAGAGCCTGATTGATAGCGAATTAAATGTGGTTTACGTTGTCGCATCACAGGGGAGGCTTTGTCGGCCCCATGCATTTTGTTGGCTGCCCTGACGATGCTGGTTGGGTGAAGTCAAGGCAGACAGACGGACAGCTTCATTCACAGTACAAAAGCTGCATTCTCTCGCTCACTTGTTCAGTGATATCGTATTCCTCTAAGATTATCTATCAGTCTTAATTCCATCAACAACTTCATCATCGTCATCATCTTGTCTCAGTGTCATCGCTATCGCTGTCATGGTTCTGGTACAAGACGCATCTGGCTCTCGAGCCGCGAAGCTCATCAAGACATTCTGGGCCGTCATCAAAGGCGAACAGCAAATCACAAATGCACACTCTGCAAAGTTATTTGTACAAGCTTGCAAGATCTACAGTAGCAAGAACTCACCTGTCAAATTTGTCGAGGTCTTGATCTCAAACCCTGCCGGCATCGCGGCGTTGGAGAGAGTAGTCCGCGTCGACTTGAGCTTTGGCTTCATAAACACCACTGCCTTGCCGTTCCTCCTATCGCTATCGGATGAGGGTGTCGCTGCTCTCAGCAATGGTGGATTTCTTCGCCAGATGCTGACGGCTATTCTGGAGCCAACAACCTTTTGGACTGCTGCGGTGGACGCTTACCATAGTGACCAACTCAACAATGTCGGGCTTGAAGCTTTTGCCTGGCTGTGCCTACAAATTGTTTCGGATCAAACCAGCTTCGACTACCACAAGGAAGCAGTCACAGGATTGATGGAACATAAATCTCCTCTCAGATCGGACTCACCCGAAGTGAGGAAGATTGCATACCGCATCAACAAGATCATCAAGATCTTTGCCCAGCCCGAAACTGCATCCAGCGGAATCACTCCTGGAGGACGTCACGACAACGACCATGCCAATTTCCGCGATATCTCAATCTACCCGACCTCTGACGAGCTTCTCTCGACTGATCCTCCGTATCTCCAGCGACTGGGGGAGGTTTTTGACACGCCGATGGAGACCCGAAGTCAGAGCTACCGCGATTGGCTCTTCCGTCTCCTTCGCGAGGACATGCTTTCTGAACTCCGAGAAGACCTTCAAGTCGCCATGAGTCAGAAGAAGAGTAAGCGCCGTCCTGTTTCTTTGGGGCAATTGAGATTGGTTGGGATCAATGCCGACCATGACATCGAGACCAAGCACATCCCGCCATATGCTCTCTACGTCGCGTGCCAGCAGGGCATTAGTTTTCCAAACAAATTACCAAAAGGCGGGAAGAAGGCGTTTATAGAAGAGTCGAAGAACTTTATGAAGCATGACTCTTTTGGCGCGCTTTGCTGCAACGGCACCATCATCGCATTTGGGTCACTTGTCAGAGATGTCACGAACCTTCTTAAGACACCACCCATCGTCGGCATCAAATTCAACGACGGTTCCGGGCTTAAGAAAGCGGTAGATGTCCTTCAGAGTCCATTCAAGGATCACGTCAAGTTTTTCATTGTCGACACCGCTACTTTTGCCTTCGAGCCGATCCTCAGACGATTGAAGACTATCGTCGAGTTGCCTCTTGAAGCTCAATTGATCGACCCCGAGCAACCCTCTGGAGACGGTCCGAGATCGGCAACATTGAACGCCTTGCTTCACAAGCTCAAGGAGGCTTTGGATTCAGGGAAAAGTTATCAGATGCCTACAGATTTAAAACTAAAAAAAGAGATAAAGCTGCAAGGTGCTCAGCTCAAGTCCTTCATCCACGGCATCAGCAGCAATCTGGCTCTAATTCAAGGTCCACCTGGTACAGGAAAGTCGTTTTTGGGCGCGCTCATTCTCTTGACCATTCTACGATTGGCAAAATCGCGTATTCTTGTGCTGAGCTATACGAATCATGCCCTTGATCAATTTATGGAGGACCTGATGGACATCGGCGTCAGCTCAGACCAAATGGTTCGGCTAGGCTCCAAGTTTACTGAAGCCACCAAGTCTACCCTTCTGAGAGAATACGACGGCCAAAAGAAGTATTGGTTAAAGATGGAAGAGAAGAATATCCTCAATAACCTTCGCGTTGAAGAAACGAGACTCAGCTTGGAGCTTCAAGAATGCAGTAGAAAGCTCGCTGCACGAGAGGCTCATCCGGCCGATATCCTGGAACACCTAGAGCTTTCCGAAAATTTCAGCATCGCATGGGAAGCTTTTCAGGTGCCAGAAGATGACGGCTTCAAGATGGTTGGTTCGGATGGTAAAGCAATTGAACCGGCGGGTGTTTACCAGTACTGGCTGGACGGCGGTGATGTCAATCGTCTCGGACACCTCAGCGCATCTCTCGACCCGAGAGCCCGTACCGTCTGGAATGCGCCGCTGGCTGTAAGAAGGCAGTGCCATTACGAGTGGTCTCAAGTGGTTCGTGAGGAACAGAGTGCCCGGTTCGTTGAACTCAGCAAGCGATTCAGTGATGTGAGGACTGAGATCAAGAGTATCCTCGACGAGCGCGGGCGACGAGTGCTTAAGGATAAACAGATCATTGCTTGCACAACCACTGCTGCGGCAATGTATCAATCCATCATCGAAACCGCCAATCCCGACGTCATTCTGGTTGAAGAAGCGGGAGAAATCCTTGAAGCGCATATTATTACAGCAATGAGTGGTTCAGTCAAGCAGCTCATACTCATCGGAGACCACAAACAACTGAGGCCGAAGGTGGGCAATTATCTATTGACAAAGGAGAAAGGAGAAGGCTACGACCTGAACGTATCGCTGTTTGAGAGACTCGTTGCTCAAGGCCGCCATTTCACAGCTCTTGAAGAGCAGCATCGCAGTCATCCAGACATCTCACAATACCCTCGCATGCTAGCCTATCCCGAACTGAAAGACACGCCATCGACTTCCGACCGCCAGCCGATCCGAGGATTGAAGACTCGCGTCACGTTTGTGCACCATGAACGACCGGAGGATACCATGGACGATGTCGCGGAGCGCCGGGACCCAACAGCCAAAGCCAGCAAGAGAAACCTTCACGAAGCTATGATGGTTCTTAGAATGGTTCGCTATCTATCGCAGAACGGATACAAGACCAAAAACATGGTTGTTCTCACGCCATATCTGGGACAATTGTTCCTTTTGAAGGAGACCCTTCGGAAGGAGATGGATCCTTGGCTAAATGATGTCGACAACCATGACCTGGTGCGTGCGGGACTGGTCACGCAAGCGGCAGCCAAAGTGAATAAGATGCCCCTACGTCTCTCAACAATTGGTAAGTCAACCGACACCCCGTAAGTTCGATGCTGACAATACAGATAACTATCAAGGAGAAGAATGCGATATCGTCATCGTCTCACTAACGCGCAGCAACGCACCAGGAGATATCGGATTCCTAGACGCTCGCGAACGACTCGTTGTCCTTCTATCACGAGCCCGAAACGGCATAATTCTTTTTGGTAACATGGAGACATTCATGAAGAGCAAGAAGGGCGGTAAAATGTGGACGCAGTATTTTGATGCGCTGAAGGAGAATAACTGTATATTCGATGGAGTGCCCATCCATTGCGAGCGCCACCCCGAGACATCCATGTTATTGAAGTCACCAGAGGATTTTGATGAGAAGTGCCCCGATGGAGGATGCGCCGAGCCTTGGTGAGTCTAATTCTGTACCCTACCTCTTTGTGTCCTCATTACGGGAAGACATCATCGCAATTGCAACAACATAACTAACCTCTCAAAACTCTAGTAATTCCCTATTGAGCTGCGGTAAACACAAATGCAAGCGACGCTGCCATAGGGTACAAGACCACTCAAAGATCCAATGCTTTGCCAAAGTCGACAGAATTTGCGATAAAGGTCACAAGACCAAGGTCTCATGTGGAGATAAGACCAAAGTCTGCGTGACCTGCATCAAAGAGGACGAAGAAAACCAGCGACGTATCAAACGCAACCTTGAACTCGAACGACTACGCCAGGAGGATGATGAGAGACGTATCAGACGTGACCTCGAACTGGAACGAAGGCGCCAGGGGCTCCAGGACAAGTATCGCTTGCAGTTACAAGAGATTGAGGATGAGATTGACCATCGTCGTCGAACTATGAAGTACGAGTCTGAAGAGAAGAAACATGCAGACGAGCTCAAACAGAAGAAGGAAGAGCTTGAGTCTCTCCGTCAAGCTGAAAGCAACAAGAAGAAGATGAAGGCGACTCAAAAGAATGTCCCGCCACATCAAACCGTAAATCCACAGTTTGATCCCATATCCAATGCAGCCAATGAGTGGAAGAATATGAAAGACGTCGAAGGTGCTCGCAACGCTGCTTTGGATAAGCTCATGGGAATGATTGGTCTGGAATCTGTCAAAGATCAAATACTCTCGATCAAGTCCACAGTAGATACCAAGATACGTCAAGGGTTCTCACTTGGAGATGAAAGATGGAGCTGCTCACTACTTGGCAATCCAGGAACAGGTGAGTACATCAAAGGCCCAGCAGCGCAGTGAATGGCTTCGACTAACCTCTCAACAGGCAAGACGACAGTGGCCAGAATATATGCCGAATTCCTCACGACGGTCGGCGCAATTGCAGGAAGCTGCTTCAAAGAGGTGACCGGCTCTAAACTCGCCAACATGGGTGTTGCCGGCTGTGAAAAGCTTCTAGAAGATGTGAACAACAACGGTGGCGGCTGCGTCTTCATCGACGAAGCATGCCAGTTGTCATCTGGCAACAGCCCCAGCGGCAAGGCCGTACTGGACTATCTCCTGGCAGAGGTTGAAAACTTGAGGGGTAAGATTGTGTTTGTCTTGGCAGGGTACAGTAAAGAGATGGAGTCTTTCTTCTCACACAATCCCGGCATCCCCAGCCGATTTCCCATTGAAATGAAGTTTGAGGACTATACGGACAAAGAACTCCTCCAAATTCTTCAGCTACAGATCCATCGCAAGTTCAATGGTAGAATGGCTGTTGAGCAAGGAGTCGATGGACTGTTCTGCCGGATTGCTGTACGTCGGGTTGGCCATGCTCGCGGGAAGAATGGTTTTGGGAATGCACGCGCCGTGGAAAACTGCCTTCAGAAGATCAGCCAACGACAAGCAGCACGTCTCAGAAGGGAACGCCGAGCTGGCAAGAAGCCAAATGACTTGATCCTCACCAAAGAAGACATCATTGGGCCAGAACCCTCCGAGGCCTTGCTGAATAGCAACGCTTATCGAGAGCTCAGGTCCCTGATCGGGTTGCAGGAAGTCAAAGATGCACTTGGTGTTCTCATGGATACCTTGAGAACAAACTATGAGCGCGAGCTTGCGGAGCATCCTCTGGTAGAGTTCTCGCTAAACAAGGTATTCTTGGGATCACCCGGAACTGGAAAGACGACTGTCGCAAAGCTTTACGGGGAGATCCTCAAAGATCTGGGACTTCTTTCGAATGGGGAGGTCGTCACCAAGAATCCAGCTGATTTCGTTGGGGCTGTTCTTGGCCAGTCAGAGGCTCGGACCAAGGGCATCCTTGCTGCCACGGTTGGAAAGGTTCTTCTGATTGACGAAGCATATGGCCTCTATGGAGGAGGAGGCGCGAATGGATCTGTCACTGACCATTACAAGGCGGCTGTTGTCGACACCATCGTTGCAGAGGTTCAAAGCGTGCCAGGCGAAGATCGATGCGTCCTCCTGCTTGGCTACAAGGAGCAGATGGAGGAGATGTTCCAGAACGTTAATCCTGGCCTCAGCCGACGCTTTCCTATCTCATCTGCCTTTGTCTTTGAAGACTTTGATGATGTTGCTTTGGCAAAGATTCTGGACCTCAAACTGGGCAAGTCGGGCTTCAAGGCAACAGTCAAGGCCAAGGTTGTCGCACTGGATGTCCTGCGCCGTGCCAGAAACCGCCCAAACTTTGGAAATGCGGGTGAGATTGACATCTTGCTTGGAAGAGCTATGGCCAGCCACCAAAAGCGTGTGTCGTCTGGACGCGTCAAGAGACATGGGACCTTGGAGCCGATTGACTTTGACGAAGATTTTGATCGCGCTGAAAAGGGTGATACCGACGTCAAGAAATTGTTCGAGGGCGATGTCGGGCGTGACCATCTGATATCGATCCTTCAAGGTTACCAGACCCGGGTGCGTCAGGCCAAGCAACTGGAGATTGATCCAGAGATCCCCTTCAACTTCCTGTTCAGGGGTCCACCTGGAACAGGAAAGACTACAGCTGCGCGCAAGATGGGCCAGGTATACTATGACCTGGGCTTCTTGGCTAGCACTGAAGTTATTGAGGTCTCTGCTACTGAGCTCATCGGTCAATATGTTGGCCACACTGGACCAAAAGTACAGCAGCTCCTGGACAAAGCTTTAGGACGGGTTCTCTTTATTGATGAAGCGTATCGACTGGCTTCTGAGAGTTCGTTTGCTAGAGAGGCTGTCGATGAGCTTGTGGACTGTGTCACGAAGCCAAAGTATCATGGCAAGCTTATCATTATCCTTGCTGGCTACGTGCAGGACATCAACACTCTGCTGGGCATCAACCCAGGAATGTCTAGTCGGTTCCCGGAAAGCATCGACTTTGACCCTCTCGCTCCTGCTAGCTGCATTCAGCTGATGACCAGTCAGTTGCATGCTAGCAAAGCCAAGCTCAAGGGAAAGTTACCAGTGGATCTGTCGTGCTTGGAGCGTCCTGAGAGAGAATTCTTGACGGAACTGACCAAAAAGTTCAAGGAACTGTCGGAGCAGGATAGCTGGGCAAATGCGAGAGATGTCAAGGAACTTGCCAAGAAGATGTTTCACAAGTTTGATCTATCTTCTAAAAGCCTGACACTTACTGAAGAACTGATTCGCAGCACTATGGATGAGATGATGGCGGAGCGTCGAGGCCGAATGACGGACAAGAAGCCTACTGCTGCGAGTGAGATCGCCAAAGCACTCACCAATACGCCCATGTTCACACCACCTGCGATGACGACCAACGCCACCACGGTTACCCAGGAAAAGGAGGAGGAGGAGAAGGAGGAGCCAGAAGAAGAGCTCCCAGCCATCACTGTTCCCCATGGCATCCGAGACGCCGGGGTAAGCGATGAAGTTTGGGAGCAGCTTCAAAAAGACAAAGAGCGAGAAGCCAAAGACGAAGAAGAGTTTCGTCGTCTCAAAAAGGCCCAACAGAATGCAAAGGACGCTGACAGGGAGAAGCTTGTTCGTCAGATTTTAGCCGAGGAGGAGAAACGGAAAAAGATTGAGGCGAGAAAGGCAAAGTTGATGAAGATGGGAGTTTGTCCGGTTGGATATGACTGGATTAAGCAGAGTGCTGGGGGATTTAGATGTGCGGGAGGTTCGCATTGGATGTCTGATGAGGCTGTTGATAAAATGTAGGCATGTGCTTGGGCATGTACCAACATTCGCTGGAGAAGACTTGAATCAAAACACCTTCGGCTTATCGGAGTGAAGCCACCACTCACAGAGCATACACCACATCATCGAATGTCACGTACAAGCTATATGGCGTAATGGGATGCCTGCTCGTGGCTTTCGGGCTTTTAGTGACGAATACACCCGGAGAGACCTTCCAGGAGACTTCGGCTTGGTCCAATGCACGGGTGGTCCTGCTCTTGGATACAAATGAGGCCAACTGAGCTTGGGACCTCGTTCATGCCCATCTTAGGCCTGACACACCTCAAACCTGCATTGCTGCACGACACACTGACATGAAGCAACCCTCCCGATAGGGTGAAGGGCGTCGTTTCAACCCAAATGCCAGTTACGTGGCTTGTCTGTTGAACAGGTGAATAATAATGTCCATGTGGCACCAGCCCCGCATTTGCGTCGCTCAATACGCCCGTGCAGTCATGATACTTTCCATTCCAAACCACTATCATTCCGATGAACAGACAGCCTGCTTCGAAACCTGCTAATAGGTAAAGTAAATTTCATGGACAACTGATGCGTTTCAACCTCCATGTAGCCTCCTTCAACCATCCGATCGCTAATCGAAAGTTCCGGTATCAGCGCTTCCGCGATTGCGTACCTAGCTCGAAATGACCTAACATCATTGGCTCAGGTGATACAGGTGACGTCTGAGCTGAGTATTCTTGGCATCAAATCCCACCCGAGAGTCAATCTGATTGGTCAACTGTCAAGAATGTACACAAGTGTGCTGTGTATTTAAAAAAAGAGCAAGACGACCAGGCTGAGAGTTCATGGCCAGTATAATAGGGACATCAGTGTCTCACGCAAAGAGAATATCAAACATTGCGAAAGTCCTTCACGATGTTTCTCTGTGGACTAAATCGTTTATCTATCCTATTCCAGCAGTTCAAGACCTGCGCACAAAGAAATACAGCAGAAATGACAGAAACAAAGTTTCACAAGCCTCCACCAAGCCAAAACTCCTCCCAATCCAATGGCAGCCCAGCCCCCTCATCGGATGCCAGAGGAGTCAAGCGAGCCAGCGTTGACCAATGTGATCCCCGGGTTGGTCATCAGCCTAATGCACCTCTACCCGGATGTGCCGCACCCTTGTCCCCCAGACATGACAAGGGCTCTCAATACTCATCTTTAGAGGACATAGAGGATGAAGATGATGATGTTGATGACATCCAACGGTGGGAACAAGAACTTGCCGCGAGCGAGTGGTTTCAGACCCTGAGACTTGAGCTTAAGACATACGCATCTGCAAGGTTCAGGGTTTGGAAGGAAAAGATGGAATACATCGCATCACCGGAGGATGAACTCCGTTCACCAGAACGCTTCGGACCTTCATCTATACAGCCAATGACGCATACACGGACAGGTGATGAACATGACCTCCGTGAGGAGGAATTGGCGTCAATGTCTCGTCCTACTTTCTCAGCGGTATTTCTATATCTCGCTTGTCCTTTTTATGTCTATGATCATGAGAAATGCCAAGAGTGTCTGCTTACAAGCGACCTACGAAGCATTGAGGATCTGGTCGAACATTTGTTCCAATGTCATTCACGCCGATGTTACTGTCCGCACTGTTACGAGACGTTTGACAGTCTGATTAGCTGCGATGATCACGTTTTAAGGGAGGAGTGCCAGAAGCGCGTTCCGAGCCCGATATTTGGGCTAACCGAGGGCCAGAAGGCGATGTTGCTCGATATAGACACTCAATGTATCGGTCAGAAGGCACTTTGGTTTCGAATTTGGTCTATTGTGTTTCCCGATACAACAGAGCCTCGGTCATGGTTCCTAGATCGAGACCCCGGGTTAAGCATCTCCATGATGCGTGACTTCTGGAACTCCAATGGATTTAAATATATTGCACAATCTCTGGGAGATCGGAGAATATCGCCAGAGAATTCTAGGAAACTTACGGGTATCTTGTACGAAATGGTTCTGGAGGACCTATTAATTGGTGTCATTGACGAGCGGAAATGTTCCGGGACTACGCTTGCTCCGGGGTGAATGAGCTTGGGGTTGGCTCATGATAACAAGGCATGTGATTTCTCCAGATTATCTCAATAAATAAACGCACTGGTACTGTCCATTTCCACCAGTTTCTTTTCAAGCCCTGAAGATATGTTTCACGTGCTAATGCCAACCTCGAGGCGGATATACTTCGAATACGGGAAAACGGCCACCTGGAATTTTAATATGGTAAAAGAATATGTAGGCCTCAGGCATTTAAGTCATACTTGCTATAGTGACTGGTTTCTAGGCATTCAGGATCCTCTCCTGTGCCTCGATGCCATGAGAATTGTAATTTTCAGCAGGCATGATATGGGATCGCTGTCAACCAAACCGAATTGGAACCTTAGTTCTCTCCTTTCGCTTTGTGAGTTGCTATGCTTACTCAGAGTACTGCGATGTCCTCTAATTGCCGAATATATTGGAGGTTCTGCCTGGATGTGAATGATTGATAGTAGAACTCAAGGTGTCCGCCTTATAAACGAATCCAAACCCGCAGCTGTCCATTGACTAGTTACTTCTCGTCATGATCCCCCGTCAAAGGTAGGCCCAAGATGTTGAGCTCCATTAACCCAGTGAAAAATATCCTGCTGTAGCCCCCAATGCATCTCAGGATATTCGATCTGCCTCAAACTTCGTGATCCTCAACCCTCGATTCGTTGTTTTTTACGATTTCGTTCCAAGGAGAATTGGGACTCAAGAATAGCTCTGGGGTTTGTATGATAGACGCTCAACCAACGATTTAGTCAAACATATTGGGCATCTGAGCCGAAAGGAGATCGTCTTCTGGAAATGTAGAGTTCTCCATAGAAACTTGTTGTGCCACGATATTTTCCACTGCAGTAATAGAATTTGGACCCGTAAAATGCCAATTTCTTCCATCATCAGGATGAAGCAGTCCTGCTGAGAGATTCATAAACGGGCACCCAACCTGCTGGTTCTGGTATTCCGGGAGCACAGTATAGTTGAAGAAGTTACTAGATGAGTCGAGGCCGGCTGAATAAGACCAGTCTTGCATTGGTGGATTATAAGGCTCGTTGATTTCGAGCTGCTCGTTGTTGTTCTTGACAGTGCTGAGCCCTGAGGGCTTGCAGTCATACTCCAATTTCCCCTCTTCTGGTGATTTTCTCGGGGTATCTTCAATGCTCTTGGATCTTTCATACGGACTGCCTTTTAGAGGCTTCTTCTCTTTTTGCTCAAAGCAATCTTCAACTTTGGTAAGGATTTCGGACAGAAGCGGGCGCAGTTGATCAGCGCAAGGTACATTTTGTGTTTCCTTCAAACTAGAGATGATACTCTGCTCTTCGTTCCTCCATATGCCACGGATAATTCCTGTTATCTCCTTGAAAACACCATCTTGATAGGGGCTCAGTGAAAGCCCGAGCGTCCCAAAGAGTATCCTGCATATCTCATGCCACTGACGTTCAGAAGAGGAACTTCTATCAACGCGGTACTTGAGTGCTTCTTGCGCATCGGGTGAAACGCCATCGTTGTTGTTACAGTCAGTGATCGGACAAGACTGTTTTAGTACGTGGTCCTCGTATGTCTTGGACGAGGAGAAGCCCTCGAAGCATCTGGTGCACGAGTAATTGAACGTATGCCGCCTTTTTAAATGTTGCTTGACGTCTGATATTCGAATCATCTTCAAGTTAATACAATCAAGATAGCGTTCGGGGTGCTTTCTGTAGTACGGACAGGCAAATGTCTCAAGCCTTTTATTCGTATCGGTTGCCATGGAGGTACGACTCTTTTTATGAGGCACCTTGGTGTCCTCAGCCCTTCTCTTCGAATTCAAAGGCTTTTCCTTGACCTTGTCACCTGAAAGGGCCAATTCGTTCTGATATTCCTCCTCGGAAGGCTGCTCCTGATCTTTGCTTTTTGGGACCAAGGCAGGATTTGATTCCACCTTCCGTAGGCCCTCCAAATACTTCCCTTTGGCGGATGAAGCTGTTTGCTGAAGACTTTCCCCTTTGGCCGAGCATTTTACATCTGTCATTTCCCTTTGGGTTTCTCGAGGAAGATGCAGCCGAGAGACCAGATATTGTCCATCGCAAAACTCTGTCCTATCCGGACTCGGAGGCCCATTGTGATATGCAGTAAATTGTCAGCTTTCTTGAATGAGGTAGAGAAGTGGAATTTATCATACATCGAGCCTGGCAAGCATCTCTCTGCGGATCAAGGACTTGTGCAGGATGGCCGCGCACGTCTTTGACATCATCGACAGGGCCCGAAAACTCATATGGCTGTTGAGATACCTGGCCTTTGGACTGTTTTTTTGAAACACAAGGTGCTGAAGTTGTCTTGTTGGCCATTTCCCTATACTTCGCTGCGCGGGCAGTAGCACGATTGTCATGGGGGGACTCATTTGAATGCCCTACGAATACCTTCGGCTTTGAAGCATCGCTCTGACCAATTGTCATCGTGCGACCCTCCAAAATCTCAAATGATGTCACAGTCGCGTATCCGTACTGTAGAACGGATGAAGGCTCGGTCTAATATACTGTGAGGCCATAGATTTTGTCAATTCGTGGTACAACGTCGAGTCTCTTGGGGGTTTTGAAAATAGCTTAGGTGGTCTGTTTCACGCAGGTCTAAGGGTCGAAGAATTACACATAACAAGGCGACGGGGGACCGTTTCCTAGACATGGCCAATTTATTACGAACACGGGAGGGGTATGAAAGCATGTGCAACGTGCAGACACACAAGGCAGATTAGTGAGACGGGCGTGATTATTCCAGCCTATGGCATTGGATGTCAAATGATATTAATATTATAGCCTCAACACGTAAGGTTGATAATCTGTGAGTATCTAATCAGGGTTTTGTAGTCGCTTATGCTAAAAAGGCACGCCTTAAAATCACAATGGGTACATTTTAAATCGCCTTCAGATATCCATCGCACCAGACATCCCGGACATCCGCCTCAGTCCGACTTAAAACTTTTGTCTTAATAGATTCCTTATCGCTTGATGTTGGGCCGTGGGGCCGTGCCATGGTGCCGACCTGGTAAGCAGCCTGCCTTGGAGGGCAAGCCCTTCATCCGACATCCAAATCTGAATGCGCTCATCATAGCCTTGGCGCTCAGTTGGTTGATTCGAATCGCTGCATTTGCGGTTCAGTTAGCGAGCAGGGCTTGGTATAATGGATACTCGAGACAAACCTCGTTGAAGATGTGTTTGAGGAGGGCATGCTGAACCAGACAGTGATTTTGTGACAAGTTTACGGCGAAACGTTGTGTTCTGATTCAAAAGTTCTGTCAAATGTATATATAACCAGTACTTTCTTTCCAAAGCGCCATCTCCCGCAACGGTGGATGCCATGACATGGTACTATTCACAACCGCGTACTCGAATTTTAAACAATTCATCGAATTCCCTATAACAGCACAGCGTCAACTAATGAGCTTCGAGTCTGGCCAATGCGAACCACAAATGCGAACACTGAGGGCTTGGCGGTTGGGAAAAGCTGAGCGAGTGGCGGCGAATGAGAGTTGCTGATGTGTTGCACAACAGCAATAGTGGAATACTGCATCGAATGAAATCATCGAACAGGGATTTACTGCAGTTCAGTCTTCCACATTTGCGTAGGGAGACACAGCCCAGATGCGAGGAGGCCTCTGCGATGGATTTACTTTTACGGGTGAAATTACACCCCGCAACAGACTGTGAGACACCAAAAGATGATTTCACCCCTCCGCATCTGTGTAGTTCAAGGCGCGATTGCGTAAGACATGGCAGATCGAAGACAGGGCATTTCTGGTAGTCTCGAATTTCTAGTCGTCGCGTACCTTCTTGGTTGCCCCAGAGTTGGATAATAAGGTTACCGGTGAGAACAATAACGGGTTGTGTGACAATGCTATGCCTGTTTCGATAGTAAGAAACTCTAAAGACAGTTACTTGCAGACATTTTTCGCAAGTTAGAAGAGGAATATGCCTAATACGCAGGGCTGTTTCATTTCCGCGATTGTGGGAGCCTTCCTGGATAACTGCGCGTATGTGTAGTAGAGAGCCTGCTTCACGATGGAGCGACAACAGAGCCTCAAACGGGCTACACCATTGTGTAAGAGGCAGACTACTGCCTTATGATTATAAGGTCACCACCTCTTGCAGGTTCGCTCGTACCTCTCAGCAAGTACAGACGCCGGTGTTATCTGAGTTGTCGAGCATTGTCTCATCGCCTCGAGTTCCACAAAGACACAGCATAATCGTTCCGAGACTTCAATCCTTCGCTTAACTGTCCCCCCTTTCAATCATGGTTTCTCAATTATCCTATCATCATGGACCATCTGTGGATGTGCCCCGGGCAACTTTGGCCTCGAACTCGAGGTTTTCAAGGATTCGCTGGCGTCGTTTGAGACAGAAGTTCTCACGGCATCAACTGCAAACACCTGTACCAATAAATACGTCGACAACAACTGTGGATAGCAGCGACACCAACCTTGAGTACGGCATTCCCGCAGCGGCGTCCAGTGACCTCAGCCACCCGTTGGTCGAGTGGGGTCATCAAGCCACGCCCTGGCTCTACAGGTTACTCAGCAAGCTTAATACCCAGTCAGCCCCTCCAAACAATGGCTATTACAAGACCTATGGAAACACCAGTCACAGGGTCTCTTCGAAGACAGTCGAAAAATCTGGACACAAAGGGAAGAGTACGGTGAAAGACGCCCGGAATTCTGGCTCCGGTGGTGGAGGCAAAGGTGGAAAAGGCAAGGGGGGCAACAACTCACAACCGCCACCAGATGGCTACCGATTTCCTTCTCTTGGCGACACTCGACCTCCAAAAACGTTTGGATGCCCCTTTTACATGACCGATCCATTGCAGTTCCATAAGTGCAGCAGTCTTCGACTGCGTCGACCTAATGATGTCTCGCAGCACATCATGCGAAGCCATCTATTGCGGCGGATAAAGCTGGTCAGACGTCGTGACGCTGAGTCTACCGACAACGCTGAATCCGAGGAGAGGATGCAGCAGGCTGGGACTTGCACCAACGCCAATGACATCAGACTCTACCATACAACGTGTCGTATTGAATTCTGTGGTCCCAACGCGGAGGAAAACCTACAAAACCACTGCGATAACATTGTATGTTATAAAGTGGGTGTTGAGCAGACCGGTGTGCTGCTCCCTTCAGAGTTCAGAGATCTCATAGCTGCACGTGATAGCGTTACTGGCAGTGTAGCCAAGTGGTATGCAATGTGGAGAGTATGTTTCCCGCCTCTGGTTACGACAAGATTTCGGACCGTTCCAGCCTCACCATATGTCGAAACAACTGTCCCTCGCGAGCAGGGAGAGTATACAATTCGCCAGGCTCTGAGAAATATGTTGATGGGGGACCGAAGTCTCACCTTTGATCAGGTCGTCAACCAAATCTACCTTGGCGACGCCCAAACCGATATAGAGGTGCAACAAACAGTCCAATATCAGCAGCAAGAGCGGGATTTGAAGCTGCAACAGGCAGACTACGATGCCTTTTATCAATCAGCCTCGTCTCAGCAAGCCATGGACTGGGCCTGGGATAACCCTCCTCCCGACCAGCATGGCGGGCCTCATTAGTCCAGTTGCTATGCCTGCTGATCCGGTCACTTTTCTTTGTGTACTATTTTGGAGCATGCGGCGTTTTTTTCTCAAGATAGATATACCTTGGAGTTTTATTATTTTTTTTTTAAAAATTTAGGCCTGATGTCAAAATTTGTGCTTGCGTCTGCTCGAGACACGTATAGGGAGGTCCCCAGGGAGCAAGAGGATCAGATTAGACAAGGGTGCCAAAAATACATAGTCTAAGCCCCACTAAGTCTACCTTATACTGTACTAAGTTTACCTAGGTCTTTTTGTAATTTAGAGTAGAGGTCCTAATTTTTCTTGCCTCTCCTTGGGAGGGAATCCGTCGCACGTGAGGGTATTTGGCACCTGAAAAGTGCGGTAAGGTTGGTCTTATTGGCTACCGCCAAAGAAACGCACGGGAGTTGACGCTGAGCGCCAAAACACGGCTAATAAACCGTTACCACGCCACTAACCCCGTCCTGACAAGCATCTCCCTCAGAGCAGAATGACGACACTCAGCCTATTAACTTGACATATCATTTCAGGATTTCGATATTTGTTTCTAAATGCAGGAAGCTCAATGCATATTCCTTCGATTGTGATTAGAAGTGTAAGCGGTATCATGAATCCAACCACAATCGACTTGGAGGCTGAGGGAGTGAGTCCAGCAGATCTTTATCATTCTGGTGGTCGAACAAAGGGCCGAGATGGCAACCATGACCAAACCAGAATAGGTTGTTTCTTTCGAAAAGGACGTGCTGGTAGATCAATTGTGAGTTACAAAGTTCTAGCAAATTGGCTGAAAACAGTATCATACGAGACTAATGCGGTTTAACTATGCCAACGTAGTTAACAAGCAAGAAAACTACGTGCTCTGAACCTTTACGTACAAGTTAATATTGCAGCGTGACAGCGGAACACTACGCTACAGCATGAGTAAGCCATATTATGGCTTCTGTTGTGAACAAACTGCTGCTGCCAGTGATGACGTCAATGCTCACATTCACAATGCCCTGCCCTCAGTTCACTGCCACCAGGTACTCTCTTCCTCCTTCCCCTCTCTTTTCACCTTTTCTTCCTTCTAACATCGTGCCAAAAGGACTGGACTTCTCGGGCCGCGGCCGTTGTAAAATTCCGACACCTACCTGCCAAGGCTTGTTTTAGCAGCGAGGTTCAACGCGTATTCCGTATTCCGTATCCCGTATGACCCCCACATTATCAATCATGACTCCGCGCTAAACCTCTTCTGGTGCTTTGGAGCGCTGTGCACCTTCCTCCGACCCAACTTGATGGTATATAACCTGAAGGGATGCAACAACATGCGACTTGTCAAGATTATGACAGACTCATACCATGAATGCGGATAGAGAATTTGGCCCGCAGCGAGCAGGCGTTTTCGACTTCACGATCCTTTTCGAACAGAGTATTTTATCTCTCCTCCCGACTGGTCTGTTCATCTTGTTCGTGCCGCTGAGACTCTACGTACTTTGGAACAATGAAAGGGTCACCAAATCTGGACCCATGTTATGGGCGAAAATGGTAAGCGATCATTTCTCCTTGTTACTTGAGCTAATAGATCAGGTTACGATTGCCATTTATGCCAGTATTCAAGCCGCTTTAGTTGTCCTCTGGTGCCGACAAAACTCGTCAAATACAGCCATCGCTGAGCCCGTCCTTGGCTTGATCGAATCTTTTGCACTTGCCGCTCTGTCGTTCTTTGAACACCGAAACTCAAAGAAACCGTCGAAGTTGATCGGGACATTTCTTGTCGTTACCATTATCCTCGACATTGCCCTCGTCCGAACCTTTTGGATACGATCGATGCGGACAATTGCAGCTGTATTCACTGCCTCATTCGTAATTAAGACGATTCTCTTGATTCTCGAAGAAACACCAAAGAGCCTACTCGACGAAAAAGAAAAGATACACGAGACCTCATCAGGAGTGGTCAACAGGAGTTTCTTCTGGTGGTTGAATGGACTCTTTCTGCAAGGCCATCGCACTATTCTCGAGACCGAAGACTTACAGGCGATAGACTCAAAGTTTGATACAGACCATGTATCAGCGCCGTTGGAGAAACAATGGGAACGAGGTAAGCCGAGACTCTCCGATCTATCCCGAACCTTATTGCTGTGGACATCTAACAGTTGCAGCCCGCAATAGTGGCCAGCCCAGTCTCCTGAAATCCACTTTCCTCGCATACAAGTGGCAAGTCGCTGCCGGTATCATCCCTCGACTCCTTCACAGCGGCTTCAACTTTGCGCAGCCCTTCCTCATCCAATCCGTCATCGTGCTCGTCAGCAAAAAGGAAACGTCGGTCCAAATTTCCAGCGGGCTCATCGGAGCAACAGTCCTCATCTACCTCGGCCTTGCCATTTCTGGCGCCTGGCACAAACACATGTCTTACCAGTTGGTGACTATGTACAGAGGTGGATTGGTGTCTTTGATCTTCAAGAAGACGCTCAAGCTCAAGACCACGTCCATCAAGGACTCTGCACCTGTTACACTCATGACGGCGGACGTGGAGACTATTGTTGCTGCCGGAGCCTCGGTCCATGATATGTGGGCAAACATGCTTGAACTTCCTGTGGGGATTTATCTGCTTTATCGTCAAGTTGGTAAGCCTAGCTTGCTTGTGCTGGTTCCAACCGTCAGTGAGTACTCTATCCCGCGTTAGACCAAGCTAACAGTCAAGTCACAACGATCCTCAGCGGCATCATCTCTCCAGCCATGGAGCCAGCGACAGTGAAATGGAATGAAGCTGTTCAGAAGCGAGTTGGTGAAACATCAAGCATGCTCAATCAGATGAAAGGCATCAAAATGATGGGCTTGACAGATTTCTTTCGCAAAATGGTCCAGGGCCTAAGAGTCAAAGAGCTCAAAGTATCTGCCAAGTTCCGATGGTTGCTCGTCTACTTCAATGCCCTTGGTAAGTCGCCTCATGATTGCGTTACATCGCTAACGGTACAGCCATGATCTCTGCCCAGTTGACTCCGGTGGTTGTCATCATGTCTGCAATTTACTGGACCAAAGCAGATGAAGGCCTGAGTGTCGCAGAAGCGTTCACATCGCTGTCCCTGATCTCTCTTGTGACTCAACCACTTGTCATGATTCTCGTCTCCTTGATGCAGATTGCAGGTGTTGTCGGGGGCTGTGGCAGGATTCAAGCGTTTTTGCTCCTGGATGAGCAGGTTGTTGCTAAGGAGACAGTCGATGTTGACGCCGTCACTGTGCAGAACGCCAACTTTCAGGCGCCCGACGGAAATTCTTTGCTCACCGATATAAACCTCCGCATCTCGCCCGGGACACTAAATATGCTTGCAGGCAGGGTAGGCTGCGGAAAGTCATCACTCTTGAGAGCGATCATCGGCGAGCTTATACCAGCAGAGGGGACGGTCAAGACCGAGGACTCTCTTGCGTATTGCGACCAGGTACCATGGCTCCGCAACACCACAATTCGAGAAAACATCGTTGGGCTGTCGCCGATAGACGACAAGTGGCTGTCGACAGTTCTTCATGCTTGCGCTTTGGAAGAGGATCTCCATCAATTGCCCCAAGGTCAAGAGACAACTGTTGGTTCTGGTGGAGTGGCTTTAAGTGGAGGCCAAAAACAGAGGGTTGCCCTTTCACGAGCTGTCTATTCGCGAAAGAAGCTCATTATACTTGATGATGTCTTCAGCAGCCTTGACAAAACGACTGCAGATACAGTCTTCCATCGCCTTCTGGGGGCTGATGGTTTGCTTCGGACGAGCACTGTTGTCCTGGTAACCAGTAACGGTATGAGCTCTTCCGGTTTGAAGCTTTTCTAACAGTTTAGTTCATTATCTACCATTCGCGGACTTTGTTACCGTGATTGAAGACGGCCGAATCACTCGCAATCAAGTTCCATACTCTCAACTTGAAGCCACCGAAACTCTAAATACTATCGCACCAATCGAAACTCAGGAGCCTACACAAAAGGACATAGTCAAGCTTACTCCAAAGAAGGAAATTGACTTGGCTCGAAAGACTGGGGATACCGATTGCTACAAGATATATGTTAAGTCAATGGGTTGGAAAGTCATTAGCATCATCTTTCCAACTTCAGTGATCGGTGCCGTACTTGAAGCCATGCCTCGTGAGTATTGTGGTCTTTGTTCAAACGAGGCTAATGATGTAGAAATCTGGTTACGAATGTGGACGGAGAAAGGTGAAGGCTCGAAGGATGCCCATTACGCAGGAGGATATATAGGACTAGTCGTTGCTTCAATGGCCCTGGCACTCCTAAACATCGAGTAAGTGAACCGGCTATGGAAGCACCTCGCTGATTATCAGTTACTTTCTCATTGTAGGCGTCGAAAAATCATCAAACAACCTCCACGAGCAGCTTTTGAACTCTGTCTGCAGGTGCGTACGCCGTCTAGTGTTGGACTCGTCAGAGTTATCGAGGTGTCCGTATCTAACTTGGTTTCGACAGAGCCCCTTTGCATTTCTTTACATCAACAGAAAACGGTAGCATTCTGAACCGGTAGGTCAAGGCCCGGTTCCAAAGTCTTTACTGATCCGAGTAGCTTCAGTCAGGACATGACACTCATCGATATATCTCTTCCGCTAGCGTTCTACCTGACACTCGATTGTAAGCACTTCCTCATTATGAGACTCCGCTAACTCTCCCAGTGACCTTGCGATGTCTGGTTCAGATTGGCGTCGTAGCATCCGGAGCCAGCTACTTTGGCGCGTTTCTCCCAATTTCATTCTTGGCTCTATATCTCATCCAGAAGTACTACCTTCGTACCTCCCGACAGATGCGACTACTGGATCTGGAAGCCAAGACACCACTCTACACACAATTCACAGAGATTACTGCTGGACTCGCAACTATCCGCTCATTCGGCTGGACAGATGAGTTTCTGGATGAAAGCTGTCGTATGCTGAATACATCACAGAAACCTTTCTATCTCATGTTTTGTATTCAGCGATGGTTAGAACTAGTGCTGGACCTCTTCGTTGCTGGGATGGCCATCTTGTTAGTC